AACCCCAATGTACCCGCCCATCCCACCCCTCCCGATGCCTGTGAGGCAGGTGATTTCCACTTAACTCTCTCTCTACATTGATTATTTTCATTATTTCGACAAAAGATGCACCATTATTATTTGGAATTTTCTCCTAACAATCAAACCTGCTGAAAAGGCATCATGAAATAATTTGTTTTCTGTTGCTGGTTATGAAGACCATATGATGATTTTGGATTTCTGATATTTTACTAATTAAGTCTGGAGGGATTTCTACCAAAAGCTGCATAGTTCCGAGATTGGTTTGTGTGCCTCTGGGTCCATGGCCATGCTGGAGAGCTGCTTGTGGGAGGGGCAACTTGTGGTCTCGGCAGGGCAAGAAGGACGTGCTGGTTCTGCCCCCCATCCCATGAAGCTGCAGTTGCCCTGTCACCGCTAGCACATACTTGGCTGTCCAATAAGCTCTGAGGTGGCGGTCACCATGCTGCCGGGGTGTGGGGGGAAGGTGGAAGATACAGACACCCTTTCCCTCCCGGGGGGGCATGGCACCATAGCTTAATGCATAGTCCATTCACATTTCTGCCAAAAGCCGCTGGGTTCCAAATTAGGTCTGTATGCCTCTGGGGTCATGGCCGTGCTGGAGAGCCGCTTGTGGGGCTGGACCTGATCATTTAATGAGGAATCATTCAAATAACTTCTGAGGGACAAAATGTCCTTCGATCTGAGACTGAGACTGGCTCAGATTATTTTTTAAACAGAGATATAAGTCCCAATAGGCAGCTCCTTGCCCGTGGCATTCTTTTTTTTTTAAATTTTTTTATTTTTGCATCACACCTGGCATTGCACAGGGGTTACTCCTGGCTCTGCACTCAGGAATCACTTCTGGCGGTGCTCAGGAGACCATATGGGACGCTGGGAAATGAAACTGGGTTGGCTGTGTGCAACACAAACGCCCTACCCGCTGTGCAATCACTCCAGCCCCCCCCCCCCCCCCACACATGGCATTCTTGCCCCAGTGCACGGGGCATGCCTTTGCAGGGGGCCTTGTCCCCAGCTCCTAGATGCAGATGCAGCCTTCTGGGTGTTGGGAGGGAAAAGGGAACAAGGACCAGTGGGACCAGTGCAGTTTGGTCTGGTTTTCTGTTGTCTGTAGGGGGTCAATGTGAGGAAGCATGGAATACAGCCTGGCAGTTTCCTGTTGCCAGGTGGGCCATAGACCTTTCCTTGGAACTGGAGACCTCGGTGATCTCTGATTTGGGGAGATCTCATTAGCTGATCGCCATTTGGTCTGAGTAAACCTTACATGTGGATTACCTCTTCACATGTTGTGGGAAAATAAGCAAAGGACTCCTCCCACCCAGCTTCCTGAGCCTCGTAGGAGGAAATCAAGGCACTTATTAGAACGTTTCTTGACCAGATTTTTCTGGGAATGGAGGTAAACACAGCTGTTATTTGGTGGTGATTCCATAAGCTTTTATGCATGGAGTGGATCCATGCAGGAATCCGCTTCCAAGGTATTTTGTCTTTCTGTTTTACATAGTACAAGTTGCACTGTGGACTTTATTGGGTGAATTTTTCTGTCTAGTTACATGAAGCTCATTCTTTTGGCTTCTAACCATTTTGGATGATGTTGAATTACAAGCTAATACTTCTTTCTCCTTTATTTCAATAAAGGAGGAAAAAAGACAAATGCTTGTAAGGTTTCTTCTTCTTCTTGGGGTTGGAGTGACAGCACAGTGGATAGGGTATTTGCCTTGCACATGGCAGACCCGGGTTTGATCCTAGGGGGCACCCCATATGATTCCCCCAGGCTTCCAGGAATAATCCCTGAGCACAGAACCAGGAGCAACCCCTGAGCACAGCCTGGTGTGGTCCTAAAACAAAACAACAACAAAATCACCCTTCTAAGTCAGGTCTCTCATGAGTCTCTGGTTTTTTTTTGACATCCCTGGCCCCACCCTTTGCTGCTGTTATGGAGGGGGCATACATGCTTCATCATGGTGCTTGCTGGGGTGGCACTGGTTTCTGTGGGGGTGCTCCTGTGCCCTCTGGCTGTAGTGCTTGCCAGGGGTTGTATTTTGTGCACACGTGCTCAGGGCTCTTGCACTCCTTGTTCCCTTGTCACAGAACTAGTTGTGCTTCCAGACACCTGGCTGCGGTTTACACTTTTGCTATAGTGACGGGGGTCCAAGTAGCAGAGCCATCAGGACTGTGCTCAGGACAGGTGAACAGCTTCCAGGGTCAAACTTATACTCATGGGCTCAACTTTGCACGGCAGTTACTTTAGCCATGTACCCATCCTTGGAGCCCTACCCTCATCAACACTGATTTTAATACAACTGTTGCTTCTATTATTTTTTCCTACGCTTAATAGAATTTTTTTTTTGAGCCATACCTGGCAGCACTCAGGAATTACTCCTTGCAGGTCTGGGGGACCATATGGAATGCCGGGGATTGAACCCGGGTCAGCAGCATGCAAAGCAAGTGCTCTCCCCTCAATACATATTGCTCCAGGTCACTTTTTATTTTTTAAGTGCCAGGGATTGATGCCAGTACTTCACAGATATAAGACAAGTATCCTAACGCTGAGGCCACCTCCTGGGCCTCGAACTTTTATCTTCTGGAACTTGTCAATTGTGTAAGTTTTACTCCTGAAAAGTGGAAATGGAGAAAGATGTGTAAATAAGAGTTAAATAAGCTTTCATATTCAAAAGATTTCTGTTCCCTTGTACTCTGCAAGCATGACCTGAATTCCACTCTGAAGTCATGGCTGTCTTGAATAGATTAGCGGCTGCTTGGTCTATTTTTAAAATTATTACTACTCAGCGTCACTATATGCTGAGCAGCCCACGTACCATTCAGAAGAGATGCGGACTGAAATGCTGAAGGATTTTGAGGGCCACTGCACTTAAGACCAGGGCTTTATTGTGTGTGTGTGTGTGTGTGTGTGTGTGTATGTATGTGTGTGTGTATACGTGTGTGTTTGTGTCTGCTCACATCCCTCGGTGTTCAGGACTTGTTCCTGACTGTGCTCAGGGATCACTCCTGGGGGTGCTGGGCCCATGAGGTACTGAGGGGATTGAACCTGGGGAGGCCACATGCAAGACAAGCACCTTAAAACCCTTGTACTATCTTTCCGGCACCTAGGCCAGAGACTTTAAGCTTTCCCACTTTGATCCTTTATCACATTACTCAAGATATGTACGTGTATAAAATAGGTATACAAATTAGTATCTGTATTGCAAACCATAATGTCCAAAATAAAGTGTGTGTGTGTGTGTGTGTATGTGAGAGAGAGAGAGAGAGAGAGAGAGAGAGAGAGAGAGAGAGAGAGAGAGAGAGAGAGAAGTGCCTGCCATAGAGGCAGACTGGGGTGGGGGGTGGCTTGAAGGGGTGGAAAGGAAACTGGGACACTGGTTCTGGGAAATTACACTGGTAAGGTATCAGTGTTGGAACATTGTGACTAAAAATTTTGTAATTCTCTATCACAGTGATTCAATAGAAAAAAAGGTATGCATATAAAATATTTACTGATAATAAATCATTTAAAAATTGATACAGGAAGCCAGAATGATAGAGAGTAGGTTATTTGCCTTGCATGCAGCTGACCTGGGTTTGACCCCCATACCCCATATGGTCTCCAGAGCCTACCAGAAGTGATCTTTGAGCACAGTGTCATGAGTAAGCCCTGAGTACTGCTGGTGTGGCCCCAAACTAAAAAACAATTGATTCATTAAACAAAGTTTTAAGAAGTCACATGACCCCATGTAGGGTTGACACTCAGTTTAGGTATTTTGTCACTGTTCCTTTGGTGGTGAATCCTGGGGATGTACTGGGAAGAACTGGCAGTCACTAGCTGCCAGCTGGTGTGGAGGACAGTGTTAGGATGCCTGTGACTGCCTGAGTGTGGCTGGGGACAGGTGCTGATGTCTTCACTCTCTAGATTTTCAGAGTGGAATAGTGCATTTCCAGATTCCATGGTCCTTAAGGCCTGTCCTGACTTCGTCTTCCCAGTGTCTGACATTAAATGAATGTTCCTGTATTTGCTTTGTTTTGTCACACTGTGTATTTGCAGCACTCTTGAGACTATGGGGAAAAAAAATGAATGAGAGTCAAAGTAAGCCTCATTAATGTCAAGAAAATGCAAATCACACCAACAGTGAACTGCCTCATTTTCTCAGGTTGGAGCTCTCAAACAGTGCTCCAGGGACCTGGGGCCACTCCTGATGTAAGTCAACCGGGCCAGGTTGGGGGGCTTGATGCGAGGATGCAGCCAGCTGTGCTAGAGGGGGGCCCATGGATGGATTTGAAGTCGGGCCCGGAGGCAGATGTGGGCTGTTGTCATGTGTGACAATCCCTGCTTCTCACATGTATCAAAGTTGTATGTACTTGGTCTTAAAATCTTTTCAGGCCAGGGAGATGGCCTGGGTGGTGGAGCACATGCCCAGTAAGAGTGAGGCCTCAAGTTTGACCCCTGACACTGCATGGCTTTAGTCTGTGTATTGCCAGTGTGACCCCTACCACACACACACAGACACACACACACATACACACACACACACACACACACAAATCAGTTTTATACTGTTGGGTTAAAAAAAATGAGAGGTGGAGTGACAGTACAGCAGGTGGGGTGATTGCCTTGCACGTGGCTCACCCAGGTTTAATCCCTAATATCCCATATGGTCCCTTGGGCACCATCAGGAGTGATTCCTGAAAGCAGAGCCAGGACTAAGCCCTGAGCACTTGTGGGTGTGACCCCACACCAGACAAAACACAAAAAGTGCAAACTGATGTATATAGCATTTATGTAAGAAAATTCCTATAATTCTAATACACAAAATATTTCTGAAAGACTTTAACAAGAAACTGGTAAAATGGGTAGTTATCAGGGAATAAAGGGTAAATGGGAGACGGGACGAGAAGCAGTTCACCCGAAGCCTAACTGCCCCTTTTAAATTTGCAGCATACGCGCGTGTCATTGGGAAATAAAAAAAGACAATGCATTTTAAAAATAAATAATGAGCTTTTACTGTCCTCACAACAGAGAGAAATCAGGCTGGCAGTCTGGGAGTTACAGAGCCCCCTACGGAGTAGGGAGGCTGGCAGCACTGGAGGGGCTTCTGCAGAGGCCTTGCACGGGGCTCCCGACCCCTGCGAAGAGCAAGGGGTGGGGATCCTGGACGCAGGCTCCTGCCTGGAGCTGTCCAGGCGAGAAGGTGGGGGACGAGGGCCGGGTCCCCTCTCTCTGAGGGTGAGCGTCACAGTGGCACCACGCACCCCACAGTCCAGTGTCCTCGGCCACAGCCCCTGACTCTGAGACCAACAAGGGGAACGGGTTCTGGTCATTCCGAGTCGGAGCTCTCGTTGGACTTGGAAGATTTATGTTTTCGTTTTTTCTTCTTTTTCTTTTCTTTCTTCTTTTTCTTCTGCTTTTCCTTCTTCTTCCTTTTCTTGTGTTTCTCTTTATCCTCTGAGGAACTGCTGCTGCTCGAATCTTCATCTGAGGTAGAATCCTCCAGGAGCTGTTTTAGCTGTTGTATCCTGAATGTGCAAGAGTGGACAGGGACCTCACTTAGCACAGAAACCTTGTTCAGATCACAGGAGTGAGGGCAAAAATATTTCTCAAACAACCACTGTATTAAAGACAGAGCTACTTTTAAATTTTTGCATGTTTTCTTCCTTTCTTGTCCATTGCTGTGTATATTTTCGGTAACTAGTGTCCTTGCCATTTTGTATTCTTTTATTGTCCTAAGTATTTCTGCACATTTCTGCCATCCTTACAAGGAGAACATGTAATTAATGCACGTCCCTACATCCTACCACCAGTGCTACGCACCTCAATGATTACAGCTCAATGCCTTCAATTTGAGAAAAATAAAAAACCTCTTGCTTTGTTCATTACCTTATCATCAGCCAAAGAATTTGCAAAAAACACAGATCTTTAAAGACACTGGAGAAGAAAAATAGTTCCTCCTTATCTGTCTCTGCAAAGTGTTTTCCAAGGCCCTCAGTGAATACCTTGAACCACAGATAAAATTGAACCTTGTTTGTACTATTTTTCTTATTTTTTCAAACCTATGATAAAGTTTAATTTATAAATGAGACAGAGAGTGCCAACATCAATAATGATAAAACAGAATGATTGTCATCATGTACAGTAATAGAATTTATGTGAATATGGTCTCTCTCAGGATTTCTTAATATACACTTAACCTTGGTTGACTTGACAAAACTGCAAGCACAGACGATTACAGATAAGGAACTGACCACAGTCAGAGCTGACGACATCAGTTACCAGTGGGCTGAAACCCTGGGCCAAAAAGAACATGGCTGGCCTCTGGGTCCCCACTGTCCCCGACCCCTCCCTTGCCTTTTCTGCAGTTACTCTGGATATTTCCGCATTGAAGGTGACACTATCTAAGACACTCTCTAACACTGACCAGCTCTTCCCTACACTGCATCACAGTTACATAAGGCCTCACCTTATGTCCTTCTCATGTCTCTTATTCTCTCGGATGATATCATACATGGGGTCTTCATGAGCCTGGAGTTAGAGAAGGTGTAGTTAGGCTTCACAGACCTGCTAAATTAAATATAAGTGCCACTCTCATTGAAGCAAGTCATTTTTTCCCCTGCTTGGTGTAATTTATATTTAACCTGTTCAAAACCTGAAGGGTCATCATGGTCTGAAATGCAAGGGGGGGCTACAAAAATGGTTCCCCAAAGACAGACTATAGTTTCAATAGCCGTTCTGAGGAAATAAGACATTAAAGCAAATCACTGGTCTGATCACAGCTGAGTTAGGAAAACTAAGTGAGTCGGAAATGACTTGCAAGAATGACTCACTTACAGGTGCAGAAAGAAAAATAATGTAGAGGACAAGGACGAGATGGCTCAGCGGGTCAAAAGCCTGGCCAGGCCTGTGTGAGCTGTGGCTCGAGGGCCGGGATGTGTCGCCTGCAATGTAGTGATGGCGTGGGCCCTTCTCCTGACCTGTTGATGGGTAGCTGACAAAAATCGGAGGAACATGTCAGAGCAGTCTGGAATACCTCCACCAAGAGTGGCTGACTCCCAAGCTTCTCTGATGAGAGGCAAAATTTGACTTGGAAAATCAATGTTTAGTAATGTTTTCATTTTGTTAAAATAAAGCAAATATACTCATGTAATATTTGCACCATTTAGAATCACTTAGATTACTTAAAATATGAATAGATGTAGAATAAATTCTGTGGTATGTAAATGATCTTTAAAATGTTTGCTGCAAAAGTACAAGTTTAAGGAGAAGATATATTATCTCAACACTCAGGAGTATACAATGTGAATGTTTTAGTGTGCTTTTCCCAGTTAATATTCATAATTCAGGAAAAATTATCATAATATTATATACATACCTCTACTTTTGCCTTGTCTTTATGAACACCTTCCCATGATACTACACATTTTAAAATCACAATTTTTAAAAGTATTTTTTAATTTTTGTTTTTGGGTCACACTTGGCAGTGCTCAGTGGCTACTCCTGGCTCTGAGCTCTGACTCCTGGTGTTTGGGGGACCATATGGGATGCTGGTTCCATCTCTACGACCCCTTAAAAGGTGTGATTTCTGTATTATAGCAGTTTGTTATACGTGGGCTATTAAAGCTGTTTCCTAGTTTTACTGTGATTTCAATTTTCCCATATGAATTATTCTGGGAATTATGTTATATATTTAAAAAAATTTGTGTGTATTGATATTCTATTATAGCTTAGGATAAATCCCGAGAATTTGGTTGAGTTACAAGAATATGATTATGGGAGCCATAGCACAGCGGGTAGGGTGTTTGCCTTGCACATGGCCGACCTGGGTTTGATTCCCAGCATACCATATGGTCCCCTGTAATTCCTGAGTGCTGAGCCAGGAGTAACCCCTATGCATCACCAGGTGTGATCCCCCCAAAAAAAAGGAAAAAGAAAAAAAAAGAATGTGATTATGTCTAAGTTTTCTTAGGTTTAACACCAAGTTATGTTATGAGTTACAAAAATGGGTGTATTTGAGAGATAATTTGTTCTGGATATTTTGTATAGATTATTATTGTTATTATTAATTTTGGTTTTGGGACCACACCTGGCTGTGATCAGGGCTTACTCCTGGCTATGCGCTGAGGGATCACTCCTGGCGGGCTTGGGGGACCTTATGTGGTACTGGGGATCAAAACCAGATTGGGTGAATAAAAGGCAAGAGACCTACCCCCTCTATTATCACTCCAGCCCTTTACCGCTTATTAAAGCTTAATATTTAAAGTACTGTCTATAAAGAAGGTTGTGTGAAAGTGAGAAAATGATAACCTAATCGACTATTATCAAAGGATACTATGTAATTTATATACACACTTTGAGATTATGACATAAAGATAGCTAACCTTTAGCAAAGGCTTAGATGTATATAACTTTGATAGTTATGAAACTTGATTTTTTGTTAGAAAATATAAACTAAAAGTATCACTGATAACAATGTCAGCTTCACTAAAATAGTGTTAGCAAGGCAAATAACACTTTGATAAGAAGTTAATTTTAAATTTACAATTAATCTAACACACATGCAGTTAACATCACACATTTCTACCAAATGACTTCTGGACATGTAGTAGATGCCAACCTCCAGCTCACTGGTGACGCCTGATTCACAGACACACAGAATCACTATCTGTGGTAAAGGCAAAGTGACACTCCCGGGCTTTACTTACTACTCTGAACTGTTCCAACTTCTGGTTGCCTTTGATAAAGAAAGGACACTCTTTGTCGCCTGTCCGGTGACCATACCGTTTACAACGCCAACCTAAAAGCAAACGATAAGGATGTCTTCTGTAAGACAGTGTTCTTGACTCAGTCAAGATAAAGAATCGGTAGATCATAATAAGGACATTCTTCATAAAATCCAAATTTTCAAAAGCAAATATGTTCAGAATAAATCTGCTATGCTATGGCTTCGGTAACTTATGACAAAGTTAGAGAAATGCTTGATGCATGAATTAATATGTAAATATCAAGAAGGATCCATGTCACTGGTGATTAGTAACACGCCAGTCACAGATCAGGAGATATCTGAAACCCTCCTAATGAACAAAATATTAATGGGGAGGGGAAAGAAGAAAAATCAACTTGCAGACACATAGCAGAGAAAAAAAATTAAATTCTTAGAAATCTGACACGCTGTGACAGTAGACTGGGAACAGAGTAAACCAAAAAGAACTAAAAAAGAGCATGTGGAACTGAAAAGTGTGGAGGCAAAATGAAAAACTTAACCGAGGAATTAGAAGATATGGGATGAAACAGTCTTGGAGGCAGAAAGTAAAAATAGGAGAGAAAAGATCAGAAGCCAGAAAGTTCATCTGCAGGGCCGCTATCTGAATGAGCGAATTGCAAACACAATAATACCCAATATAGAATGTTTGGGAAATTCAGTTTGGGAAATTTCAGAATTTCAGAACGCTGGAGATATGATGACTATAAACTTCCAGGAAGGAGAAGGAAAAAAAAATAAAAAGGTAATATAAAACATGTTACTCCAGAGAGATACTCCAGTGGGTAAGGTGCTTATCTTGCAAACAGCACCTTATCTTGCAAACAGGCCCAGATTTGATTCCAGGGAACCCCAAATGGGTCCCTGAGCTCCAACAGGAGTGCTCCTAGAGCACAGAGTCAAGAGTAAGTCCTGAGCACCTCTGGGTATGGTCCCCAAACAAAAATCCAAAACCCAAAACTCAAAAGCACGTCATATCAGTGTTTAGTTTTGGAATCTTTAGCCTTTTCAGCAGCAATGCCTTACATAAGAAGTCAGTGGATTCCCATTTTCAAAACTATTTATTTGTTTTTGGGTCACACCAATGGTGCTCAGGGTCATGCAAGGCCTATGCTCTATCCACTGTACTATCACTCCAGCCTCCTTCAATTTTCTTAAGGAAGCTGATTTTTAACTGTGAATTCTATAGTGCAGCAAACCTAAAAATAAAAATTTTTTAAAAAAGATTTTTTTAAAATAGATATAAAGTCTGGTTAACTTCCACAAATCCATTTCTCAGCCCCTGGAGATTCTGTTTTTCCTTCAACCAAGATGAGCTGTTGAAAGAAGCCTCGAGACCCAGGAAAGAGAGATCCAGCTCGGGATACAGGGTAAGGAAATCCCAGGGGGTGAAGCAGGCCACCTCTGCCTGCATGCAAGCCACTATCTCCAGAAAGGGGAAGTGCAGAGTGCCACACATGCCTGATGGTCCCGATTCATGAGCCGCACATAGAAAATGAAGCAAAAATGACAAATGACAAAAAGACAATTGTGAACTGCATGGAAAATGAAAATATGTTGGCTGCGTGCACAGAGAAGCATCAGCTTCAGTGCGTGATTAGGCTCTGAAAATAGCTGTAGTCAAATGAACACAAAAGATTTATTTATAGCATAACTACTCGGGAAAATGGGGAGGAGGAAGGGTGTATTAAGAGGTGGGTTGGGGATAGGAAAAAAAAAGTGTTTGTTTCTCTAGCAGTGGTTTCCAAGCATCAGGGCAGAGGTGAGGAAAGGTTGAAATTACTGTTCTACAGGCCTCTGAAGGAGGCCCAGACATATACAGAGATAAATGCTCAAAATAGGGGCTGGAGCAATAATACATGGCATTTGCTGTGCAATGCGGATGACCTGGGTTCAATCCCAGCATCCCATATGGTTCCCCCGAGCACTGCCAGGAGTAATCCTTGAGTGCAGAGTCAGGGGCAAGCCCCGAGTACAGCCGGGTGTGGCCCCCAGAGAAAACCCGAAACAAGCAAGTTCCAAAGTGCCTTCCTAAAGGAGCTCAAGTGATGATCACCTTTGGGGCGGTATGGAGACAGGAACTAGAAACTGCTCTTTCAATCGTGGGCATGAAGAACACTGGAGCAGTCAAAAAGTCTTTAAAAGACCACGCAGCCCGGATCAAGGTGCTGCAGCTCTGGCTGTGCACAGGGGCTGTGACCGTCTCACACCAACCCTCTGTGGTCCAGGGCTTGTGGCCGGCCACTTGGACCAAGCATCAACACTGTGCTGGTGGCAGGTGGCTGACAGGCCAGGTGCAGAGGCACCTGCCCTCCGGTACGGACCATCACTTTTGCTGCAGGACTATTACTGAGACGTATGCCCCAAAGGCAGCTGTGGCAGCATGGCTATGGCGCTCAGAGGCAGAAGTCCTTTACTCCACCTGCTCCTCTGAATCACTTACCAGAATGCGCAAGGTGGCTTCCTTAATCATAAAACAGAGACAACGCCAAGAGGATAGCAAGTGGAGAAGGAGCATGCTGAGTAAGTGGTGCTCGCTGGTGGCTGGGGACCGGGAGCGGACGGTCACTTTCATACTCACATTGCATAACTTTGACTTCCTTCCCCAGGGGCATCCACAGTCCTTTCGTGGGCGCATGAGCCAGGAACTCCCTGGCGTGTTCATTGCCTGGCACATCTGGAATACAGTCTTCCGGCTTTGTCTCGTCTTCCTAACAAGGGAAACCGCATAAATAAGGTGGCTAGTGGCACTGGCGTCCCCTTCCTCCAGCTTGAGAACACAGCACTGTCTGGCTTTCTCATTCATAGGCTGGAGATCCTAATGTCATTCTCCATTTCCCTCTCAAGAACCAGAGGAAAGACAAATTACATCCTGTATACCCCCTCTCCCACTCACACACACACTGTGACTGTATCATAATTGTATCATGAAAAGTGAAACAGCTGTTATTAGAGCCAAATTACTTAGTGTCATTCACACAGCAAAGACATCTGGGCTCCAAATTCTGATGAGGGTCACAAGAGTCTAGGATCACATATGGTGCTAACTTCGAAGTTTTGTGGAATGAAGCAAAGTGTAGCACCGTAGCACTGTCCTTCTGTTGTTCATGGATTTGCTCAAGTGGGCACCAGTAACATCTCCATAGTGAACTTGTGACTGTTTTTGGTATATTGAATATGCCACGGGGAGCTTGCCAGGCTTTGCCGTGTGGGTGGGATACTCTCAGTAGCTTGCCAGGCTCTCTGAGAGGGGCGGAGGAATCCAACCCAGGTGGGCTGTGTGCAAGGCAAAAGCCCTACTCGCTGTGCTATTGCTCCAGTCAGTCTTCTTCTTAGATTGAAGCAAAGTGTAGAACTAAATAAGCAGGATTTCCTCTGGGAACAACAACAAAAGAAAAACATGTCACAAAACAGATGACCTTGTGGGGTCTGATCCATGCTGAAAAGGTGAAGGACACTTTGACCAATAAACAACTGTATTGTATATCTAACATGCTTTGGTCAATCAGCAATATCAGAATTTCTCTTTTACGAGAAAATTCTTCATTCCTACTTCTGTAACATAATGGGGCAGTATGTTCCTTTTATTTCATCTTGTACTAATAAAAATAGAAGTACTGTGCTGGAACAATAGTGTAGCAGGTAGGGCCTTTGCTTGGCTTGTGGCAGACCAGGGTTCTATCCTCAGCATCGCATATGGTGGCCCCCGCACTGCCAGGATTGATTCCTGAGGGCAGAGCCAGGAGCAACCCCTGACTGTCACCAGGTGTAACCCCAAAACCAAGAAAAAGTACTTTGCATCTTGCAATATTAGTCAACAATGGACAAAAAATAGAAAACTTTCAAAGCAGGAAACAGTTTGAGAAGCACAAAACCTAACCTATCCTGACACATCCACCAAGTGGCGAAGCAACAATCTGGGCCCATGTCTGTGAGACATCAGTGCCTATACTCTTAATTATTAGACCTTATTTCTCTGTTATCAGCAAGACCTTGAACTCAAACCTCTATGTGTAACCCCAACCTCTGAGAGCTTGACTGTGCCAAGTACAAATCACAAGGCCTTTTTGTGTGTCTGGCCTAAGACAGACCTTCAACACTGAAAGCAAGTCAAGCTGCCTTCCTCAGCCCCTTTACCGGGTTCATGCACAAAACTCCATCTTCTGGCCTAAGTATAGCAGGGAGGGCCTTTGCTTTATATGTGGCTGACCCAGGTTCAATCCCTGAGCCTGCCAGGAGTAATCACTGCTGGGTGTGGCCGCCCACAAAATAAACTTAGTTCTCCTGATCTCTTCTGATGCGAAACAACAAAAACAATACTTTTCAAAGCCAAGAACACAATCACCAAATGATTCTTCTTTGGGGGTTCACTCTAGTTTCTATCAACTTTGGGAACTGACCTCTTAAATCTGTATGCAGTACAAAATAAATGAATTCAATTTTTTTTTTCTCGCAAAAGAGAAATTCTGATATTGTTTTGTCTCTGTTTGGCATGAATAGTCTTATGTTGAAAAATAGCTGGGAAATTTTCCTGGGTGGAAGGGATAAACCCCTAATTGATCAAGAAACAAAAATACCCATCTCTGTGGGGGTGTCTGTTTTGTCTTGAAAACATCAAAACCGCTTCTCTGGAATTACTTTGGGCAGAGAGCAGAGTGAGTCTGAGGGGAGTGGGAAATAGGTCCCAAGAAACTGACCTTCCCACTTGTCTTTTCCAAGGAGGTGGTTAAGCAACTGAAGTTACTTACATTGATTGATTACACTTTAATCACTAGAGGATGGAGCACAGGACAGAGGGGAGGGCGTTTGCCTTGCATGTGGCTGACCCAAGTTTGATCTCCAGAACCCCACATGGTCCCCTGAGCACCAGTGGGTGTGACCCCAAAACAAAAAAATTTACTACTTCTCTAAGGGATGCATCTAAGTTAGCTATTCATGAAGTTGTCTTTGAATTCTCCATTTTTCACTCCAATAATATTTGTGAATGATATCAGGGCTCTTTAAGAAAAAAGACCTCTGAATTCAGTTAACCTTTATATGTCGAGGGGAAATTATCCAGTCACTTGTTTTTCATGCCAACATCCAGAGCTCAACTAGAAATTTTCAGGAGGATGGAGCGATAATAAATTGGGTAGGTCTTTTTGCCTTGCACACAGCCAACCCAGGTTCAATTTCTGGCATCCCATATGGTCCCTCTAGCATCACCAGGGGTGATTTCTGGAGTGCAGAGCCAGGAGTAACCCCTGAGCATCGCCAGGTGTGCCCTTCACCATCCCCTCCCCCCCGCCGAAGAAAAAGAAATGTTCAAAACATTACATACTTGATACAGTCTTTGGCATTTTCACCACTATCTACTAGATAATCAAGTGCCTCTTACTGCTAAATTATAGTTCAGAAAACCATTGTCATTTAATAGATTTAAATGAAACACGCGTTTTCACTTTATTACAATCTACCCTATCTTAGCACAGCAGGTAAGGCATTTGCCTTGCACGAGGCTGACATGGCCACCCGGGTTCGATTCTTCTGCCCCTCTTGGAGAGCCCGGCAAGCTACCGAGAGTATCTCGCCCGTACAGCAAAGCCTGGCAAGCTACCTGTGACATATGTGATATGCCAAACACAGTAACAAGTCTCACATTTGTTGTGAGACGTTACTGGTGCCCGCTCAAGCAAATTGATGAACAACGGGAGGACAGTGCTACAGACAGTGGTCAATCAGAGTCTCTGCGAATTTCCATAACATTCAATCTTTCTTAAACTTTAAATTATTTCCTAAACTTAAACAGATATAAAAAGTTGGGGCTGGAGCAATAGTACAGTGGGTAAGGTGCTTGCCTTGCACGGGGCTCACCCAGGTTTGATACTCAGCACCCCATTATATTCCCTCGAGCACCTCCAGGAGTGATCCCTCAGTGCAGGGCCAGGAATAACCCCTGGGCATCACTGAGTGAGGCCCAAAACCAAAACAACCACAAAAACTCAAACTATGTGGGCTGGAGTGACAGTACAGCAGGTAGGGGGCCTGCCTTGCACTTAGCTGACCCAGGTTTGATCCCTGGCATCCCATATGGTCCTCTGGGCACTGCCAGGAGTCATTCCTGAGTGCAGAGACAGGAGTAAGCCCTGAGCGTTGCGAGGTGTAGCGTCAATCCTAAGCCCAAAGACAAAAAAATCAAGAACAAAACAAAACAACCCCCCCACAAACCAAGACCAAAACCAAAGCCAATCTATATTATATAAAGTTGTCAAAGGGACCAAACTGTTTGCCCTCTCTCTGTCTGTGACTCACTCTCAGAGACAGACACAGTGGTGGGAAGGTGGCCTATGGCGCGTAGGAGTGCACTGTTGTCCCCAGTGTCGAGAGGGGCAGCAGTCCGGGGAGAGAGCAGGAACCTGTGGCAGAGCCGGGGGAGGGGGCAGGCATTGAGGCGGGGCTGACGGCTGTGGTGCACCTGGGAACAGGGCAGGGCTGCTTGTGGCTTTACAAAGGCACAGGCTTGGGATGGAGGGAGAAACAACCTTGTCCGAAAGGGTGGTTCAAATCCCTGTGCAACTGTTCCTTTCTGAGCTCTGAGTCAAAAATATCTAGAGGACGATCCCCAGAAGAGACTTCATACTGACCTTGATGAGGCCCGGAGGAGGCTTCTCATAACTAGAAAGGAAGGGAAAAGAAATCCATCAGCAACAGGGCAAAAGACACTCAAGAGCAAAAGCTACTGAGGTTAAAACGGGTATTGCTAGGCCCTGAGAGAAGGCACAGAGGTAGGGCACTTGCCTTGCACGCGGCCAACCCAGATTCGATCCTCAGCACGCCATGTGGTCCCCTGAGCACTGCTAGGAGTAATTCCTGAGCGCAGAACCAGGAATAAACCCCGAGTATTGCTGGGTGTGGCCCCCAAATTAAACCAAACCAAAACAAACAAAACACTGCTCTGTATCTGAAACCCTGGAGGTCCGACCAACAGTTGGCAGTCAGAGAATCAGACTGAAACTGTACCACATTTTGCTGAGATCTACAACCTCAGGTCACTGAAATAATAATTAAACACTTATTTTCGAAGGGAAGGCAAGGAAAACGTGAGGTACAAAGACCCAGTGATTCATGGTATCAGGTTCTTAGCATGACTCACTCTCAATGCTGAAGAGGTGCAAGGGAGGAGATATGATGGGGAGGGGACTCAAGTGGGAGCTGGGGACAGTGAGGGGAGGAGGGGGCTGAGGTGAACCGTCTCAGGTCTCTGCTCCCTTAACCTGCGGCTCCCAATGCACCTCCCTGCCTGCGGATGGCGCCAGATCGCGGTCCTGGACTCTCTGACCTTGCTGAACTGGGGTGCAGGATCCCTGTGGGGTGCTGGAGGACAGACCCCACTTAAGTGTGTGGACGAACTTCCCAGAAGTCAGAGCAATGAGCTCAATCCATGTCCAGACAGAGGTCCAGAGGAAACCAAGGGAGCAGACTTCCTGGTCCATGGCTATCTACGTGCAGGAGGACACCAGCCTTTAGTTACAAACGGAAGTGAAATGAGTGCAGCCCTTCTGACACCAACGCGGCTCCAAGCCAGACTAATACGTCTGTACAGTCCAACCAAACGGAACAGAGTTTTTAGTCAGAAAAAAGGGCCAAAACGTGCCAGCGGGAGCTCATGATTGCTACAGGACTTTACAGGCTACATGTTTATTCTGGAGGTGCGGCTCTGGTGGGCGAGTACCTGCACCTACCTACCACAGGGTTGATGCCCTGGAACCACCACCCCTACCCTAGAACTCAATGTTTCCTTCTTTCTTTCCTTCTTTCTCTTTCTTTCTTTCTTTCTTTCTTTCTTTCTTTCTTTCTTTCTTTCTTTCTTTCTTTCTCCCTCCCTCCCTCCCTCCCTCCCTCCCTCCTTCCTTCCTTCCTTCCTTCCTTCCTTCCTTCCTTCCTCCTGCCACGTTCAGCCAAACATTCTCTAGTTCTATACCACTGTTGTGGGCTTTGCTCTGCTTTACAATAAATACATGGGCTGCATGGGCTGACTTCTCTCCTGTTTCCAGTGATCTGGTGCCCTCAGCTCTGGGGGGGGGGGGGGGGGGGAGAGGGGAGGGGACGGTGGGGCTGAGGACTGGACGCAGACGCTGGAGCACCCGCCTTGCAGGCAAGAGACTGTGAGTCTGTCCATGATGCCCTCCCTTCCTTGGTTAGTGCAATCTTGTCACTGACAACTGAGACCACTCTACCTGTCCCCCACGCCTCTGCACACAGTTAGAAGTGGGAACACGGGCAACAATGAAATGTGTGAGTTCTGCATCCAAGTGTGTGTGACCCCTTGTTGCTGCAACTCCGGCAAGGAATAAAACGAAGGGAAGGAGAGAGAAAACAAAAAGAAGGCGTGAGTGCCAACACGCCCCGAAGTCAAGATCTTGACCCAACTGAATGGTCTGTCTTTCAACCCAAATCAGCTTTCCCAGTTTTTATTTTTTGGGGGTGGGGTGTGCTGGGGTTGGGGAAGGCATTCCTGGTGGTGCTCAGGACTTACTCCTGGCTCTGTGCTGAGAGATCACTCCTGATGGGGCTGAGGGAACATATGGGGTGCTGGGGATCAAATGCAGGCTGGCTGAGAGCAAGACAGGGGCTGTGGCCACTGTACATAACTCTACCCACCCTGTGCCCCCTGTCCTGGAGAACAGAATGGAGCGGTGAGTGCAGCAGAGAGCAGAGCGGGGACATGGGACAATTCTCTTACAGCTGACGACAGAGCGGAGAGAGTGAGGGCCTGGACGTCACCTCTGGACATCCTGAGTAAGGATAGCGCATCCACCCTCAGCTTAGTCCTGCCCAGCACAAAACTGGGCTTCAGCAGAATTTACTTTTGGGCTGTGGCATTTCTGGAGCCAAGACTTCAACCATTTCCCAGGGGGATGCAGGGACCTATCCTGCCACCTTGAGGCCCGCCTGCAGCCACGGGGAGAGATGCGAGGAGGCCGGCAGCACTGGCTCAGCCCCAGAGTCTGACCAGCTGGTCTGGGAGCCGCCGGAGTTGCAGCAACAACAGACGGCCCAGCAAACCGAGATCCAAATTCCTGAAAAGTCTGTTACTACCGCTGCCAAGATGGAAGGCGTGTGAGGGGAGCACGCGTCGGGGAATCTGTGTTTAGGGATGGTATCTCTCCCCCTAAGCCGTGTCTCCCCGAGGGCAGGATGGTGCTGGATAGCTTTTCCTCGTGGGAATGGTAAGGAAAACGGTCATGATCTCCACAGGTAATTCACTATTAGATCCAACACCCGGGGCCGGGAGTATGTGTATGCGCAGTGAGAGCCCCCAAATATCCCATTTATCTTTGCAGTTCATTCTTTCCTTTTGTGGGGGCTGGGCATCGGGGCTGCTCTGGGGCGTGGGCAGGGCCTCTACTCCCAGGGACAGTCCTCCCGCATGCTTGGGGACACCAGTTCTTCAGTTGTCTCCTTGGCTCAATCTTTGTAGTTAATTCTCAGTATTAAAAAAATGTTGGGGGCGGGAGTGATAGTACAGGAGTAGGACATTTGCCTTGCAAATGGCTGACCTGGGTTTGATGCCTCCCATAAGGTCCCCTGGGCCTGGCAGGAGTGATCACTGAGTGCAGAGCCACGGGCAACCCCTGAGCATTGCTGGGTGTGGTCGCAAAATATGAACCCCCCCAATAAAATACCTACCCAAACCAAACAAAAATGTTGGAAGAGCACCGTTCTCTACAGCTGCAAAGCCTAAATCATATACTTCAACTGCTCTGAAATATGAAGACTAAATTTAGATGAGGAAAAGTTATTGTCCAAAGCGTCCATGGAGAGAGAAACCGTTATTCTGCCAAGTACTAAAAAACGTTGTTTCTTGGGAACCAGGGAGAGAGTGTAAGGGGCAAGATCTTGGTCTCGCAGGCGGCCAAGTCTAGTTTGATTCCCAGCACAGCCAGTAGCACTCCTGAGCACTACCAGGTATGGCCCCACCTCCCACCCCGTCCCCATTTAAAGGAACAAATGCTGTTTCCAGTTCCCAGGTCGGGTTCCTGCGGGTAGGGCTTTGCTAAGCGCAGCCTGTCTCAGCACTCTGTGTGGGCCCCAGGAAAGTGTCAGATACACAAGGACTCACAGCCCACAGGACTGACAACAGAACTGGACCCGGGCAATGCCTGAGGTGGTCGGGCCAGGGCCCTGCAGAGAGATACTTAGTTTAATAAAACAATACAACAACAAAAAAGTGTGAAGGTCAAGTTCAAAATGACCAGCATGTGAGAAGACATGAAGAAAGGCTTGCCAGGGTCAGCACAATAAGATCGCGGGGAAGGCACTGGGCTAGCACACAGCTGACTTGGGGTGTGTCCCCTCACACCCCCTATGGTCCCCTGAGCCCTGCCAGGAGTGATTCCTGAGTGCAGAGCCAGGAAGATCCCCTGAGCATCGCCGGTGGTCCCCAAACCGAAATACAATATTTTTAGTTTTTCAAAAAACCCCAAACCCCCAATATTTCAAAGAACTAACTTCTTCAGTCCCTTTTCCCAGACTCTGAAGATGACAGAAAAGGAATCAAAAGCCACAAAGAAATTTTTTTTTTTTTGTCCACACATGATGGTGTTCAGGTTTTGTTCAGATATCAGATATGGTGTTGCTCAGGGAACTTTGGGGTCTGGGGAGCAAACCCTGGTCAGCAGTATGCCAGGTAAATGCTCTCCCTGCTGTACAATTTCTCTCTGGCCCCAGCCACAAAGAATCTTGAGGAGGAATGAACTGGGGATAATTTCAAGATAATTCTGCATTTTGTTTTTTCCATTTGGGCCACAGCAAGTGATATTTAGGGGTTACTCCTGGCTCAGCACTCAGGAATTACTCCTGGCGGTGCTCAAGGGACCATATGGGATGCTGGGGAGCGAACTTGGGTTGGCTGTGTGCAAGGCCAGTGCCTTACCCGGTGCACTACTGCTTCAGCCCCTGATAGATATATCTAGAAAGGTGATGGAGGGTGGGAGAATGGAAGTGAGGTGTCAGCAGTGGACGAAGGGGCTGGAGTCCAGAGTTTTCCTTCTCCCGCTCCCAGCCAAATGATTATTTACTCTCACCCTTGGGCAGGGAGCAGGGTGAGTCCTCTGGGAAAGTCACTGATTGTCACTGGATCCCAGAGACTCAAACTACCCTCACACTCAAGATGGCAGGAGGGAGCGTACCGGCAGAAACACTCATTGATTCTCTGGCTTGAAGTCCGAAGTAATGGTAACGCTAGCAGGAACCACTGATTTAATGGAAGCGCTAATAGGCAAAGACAGGAAATTTGGAGGGGAAAAACTAAGTTCATTCACCATGACATAGGCAAAGCTTAGCTGCAATCGCCAAGCCTTCTCACTGGCTGGAGAAGGGATGGCGGGAAGGTGCTTCCTTCCCTGCTGTGTGGCCAACCTTGGCCATCCCTGCCACTGCAGGGTCTCCTGAGCGCAGAACCAGGAGCACCATGGGTGGCCCTAAGCCAAAAAAACAAAACAGGAAACCAATAAGGGCCGGGGATATGGCCTGGAACCAGCAAATGTGTCCCCCCCGCCCCCCTGGTCACAAACACACCAGACCAGAAAACATGAGACTGTCACTATCCTCCCGTTGTTCATCGATTTGTTCGAGCAGGCCCAGTAACGTCTCCATCGTGAGACTTGTTTTTACTGTGTTTGGCATATCGAATACGTCAGGGGTAGCTTGCCAGGATTTGCCGTGGGGGCAAGATACTCTCAGTAGCTTGCTGGGCTCTCCGAGAGGGGCGGAGGAATTGAACTCGGGTTGGCCATGTCGGCTGTGTGCAGGGCAAACACCTTACCACTGTGCTATCGCTCCAGCCCAACATCAGACTATCATTTAGAAATAAGGATAGACCTAGAAGGAAAGCTTCCAAGTTCCTCATGGAAGGCTCTATGGGGAGGTGCAGGAAGTAAGTGGGCCGCGGAGAAGCAAGGTTGGTGCAAAGAAACGTTTTCTGAAGCCAGGCTCTTAGTGCTTATTACCGCATGCTTAAATTATGCAGAAATGTGGCCCTGGAAATAAAACCTTGGTTTAAAAGCAAAGAAATAGGGTTGGAGAGAGTATAGAGGCCTGATTGTGGGGAACCCTGGTATGACCCCATATAACGGTTCCCTGTGTAGCACGAGGACAGATCATGGAGCAAGAGTCAGGAGGAATCCCTGAGCACCACTGGGTGGGACCCAAAAATGAAACAAAAAACCCAAAAGGCAGCAAAGAATATTCTCAACCACTCCAAGCAAGACAAGTCACTAAAGTCTGAAAGTTTAAATCGCTAACACTGGATCTTTCTGCTGGGAACCGAATCCACTTTTAGTTTGCTCCTCCAGAAGGGCTGGGGTCTGGCCTAGCTAGAGCCTGGGTGGGCGTTTCTTCCAAGCCCTGTGCTCGGGAGGCACAGAATGTATGCACGATCAATCAGCCTCCCGCACGGCAGCCACAGGACCTGTCCGGCACCATCCCAGCACAGACCCTGTCCCTGCACTAACTTCACAGACCCTGTCTCCTGCACTGTCCCAGCACGGACCCTGTCCCTGCACTGTCCTCACAGACCCTGTCCCTACACTGTCCCAGCACAGACCCTGTCCATGCACTGTCCCAGCACGGACCCTGTCCCTGCACTGTCCCAGCACGGACCCTGTCCCTGCACTGTCCCAGCACGGACCCTGTCCCTACACTGTCCCAGCACAGACCCTGTCCCTGCACTGTCCCAGCACGGACCCTGTCCATGCACTGTCTCAGCACGGACCCTGTCCCCTGCACTGTCCAAGCACGGACCCTGTCCCTGCACTGTCCCAGCACATCCTCGCCCTTGCGTGGGCACCGCGCTGCCCAGCCGCCCGGGTTCGACCCCGGCTCCCGGGAGGCGCCTGCCTGGGGGGGCTGGGGGAGCAGGTGGGGCAGCGGCCCAGCCCCCAGTCCCGGCCCGCACCGTCCCGCCGCCTGCCCCAGAGCCGGCCGCAGGTGCGGAGGAGCCGCCCCGGGTCCGAGCCCGGCGCTCGCAGCTCCCCTCCTTCCCCGGGGCTTCGGCCGCCCCGCGGCCTCCCCCGGGTCCCAGGCTGGCGGCTCCCGCCTCCCCGAGCCCCGCCGCCGCCGCGACGCCGCACGAGGCCGCAAACGGCCGCCGGCCTGGCCCTCCCCGCGCCGGCCCCGGCCCTCCGGCCTGCCCCGGGCCGACTCACAAGGACTCCAGGTGCTTGAGCTGCTGCAGCTGCTGCGCGTCGTGCCGCCGCCGCTTCCGCTCCCGCCGCCGCTGCAGCTCCTGCTCGGGCGGCTCCCGCGGCCGCCGCGAGCCCTGGCGCCCCGGCTCCGACGACATCGCGGCCGGCGGCAGGGGACACGCAGCCGCCGGCCTCCCTCAGCCAGGCCGCCCCGCACGCCCCGCCGCGCGCGAGCGTCGGGCCTCGGCGCCGAGCCCGGCCGCGGGGTCCAGCGCGCCCCCTGGCGGCGGCGGCGGGAGGCGCGGCGGGCCTGGAGCGCCGACCCGGACAGGGCTCGCCCACTTGCGAAGACAGCACTTCACGCTGCAGTTTGTATTTCTTCTTTTTTTAGAGGCAAAAAGGATTAAGATGTTTTGGAAATTAAAGGGCCTAACACGCTAATATGTATCTTATAGCTATATGATAGCACACATCTAGGTATGCTATCATGTAGCTATCACACACACATATATATTAGCATGTTAGGCATACTTAGATGTATGCTATCAGTGGATATTAAATATTAGGATATTAGGGATATTTAGATGACACTGTTGTCATATGATTGCATGACCTAATATGACATCATCGTTAGGAACATGATAGATACATGACCGCGGATATGATAGCACTATATCTGGGCCAACATACTGCCCGGGTCGCAGTGTATTCTTTAAGCACTCGGCACAGTAAGGAAATAATCTGGAAGATGGGTGTCGTCCTCTAGTGAATTTCAGGAAGTGACATGACCCTGATGGGTAGTTCGCCTTTGGGAATGGCTTGTTATCAAAAATCGAACATTTGTGCACTTCCCCATTACACCGGCGAGAATATTTAGTGCGTGTGACCAGATTTGTATCAGTAATTTTATAGCAGCAGCGTGGTACTAGGAAATAATAAACGTATGTGCACCGTTCAAATGCCCCAACATTTCCATGAGGCTGATTCCCTTCACCCCTTTCTCTGTGAGATGAAGATGTTCCAGGCCAGCCGCATCCCAGCCACCAACTCATAAACGCTGGCGCTCGCCCAGCGCCCACCCTCGGCATGGTCATTCAGTCACCATCGGGCCTGTGCGCCTCCTGATCCGAAAGGAAGGACGTCGCTTAGGGGCCTGCGCGCCTCCAGCCCCTGTCCCGCCGCGGTAAGCCCCGCCCCACCAGCACCAAGTCCCGAGACTCCCGCGTGAAGCCCCGCCCACGACGGCAACCCCGCCCACGGCGGCAATCCCCGCCTCTCTTGCTTCAAGTTCCGCCCCAACAGCGGAAAGTCCCGCCCACCAACGACAAAACCGCGCATCCCGCATGAAGCCCCGCCCACAAAGAACAAACCCCACCCTTAATCATTAAGCCCCGCCCCTCAAGAGACATCCCCGCGGCAAGCCCCGCCCCTCTCACCGCAAGCCCCGCCCCGCCCGTGCCAGCCCCAGGGACAGGGACTGTCTAGAGCAGGCGGGCGCGGCCTGCGTCCACCCCAACGCGGGAGCGGGTCTTGCTGGCATGGTCGGTCCAGGCGCCTGTTCTAAGACAGGGAAAGGAGTTGCAGTCTCTCGTCAAAGTAGGACCGCGGCAAGTCACCCGCCCCGCCCACTAAGACCCGACTCCATTTGCAAGGTGGCCCTGGACTCAGGACTCGTGGACTACAAGCCCCAGCGGGCGCCGCGGGGCCGCGCTGCTGCGAGCTGCGCGCTGGCGTTCGTTGCAAAGTGCTATGACAACAGAGCGAAGATGGCTTGGAGTTAGGCAGTGTGGGGAGGAGTCCCTTCCGCCGCCGCTGTCCCCTTTCTGCTGCGCCCCAGCCCGCCGCCGCCTTTGTGAGCTGTAGAACTTGCCGTTGTCCGTGCCGCTCCGGTTCCGTCCCGGGGACTAATGCTTTGCCCTGCTCGTGTCCAGAGCTCACCGGGAAGCCATGCAGGGGCGCTCCTCAGGGGGATCGCCCCAGCTCTCTGCAGCTAGAGGTGCTACCTAGGGAGAGAGACCCCCCCATTGCCCGGGGCAGCGCGGTGCAGCCGGGCTGCGTCCCCCGCTCCGGCTCTGGTCTTGCCCCGGAGCTCTTTTCTCTGCATCCTGCTTTCCTGCTCCCCTGGGCACCCCGGCAGGCGTTCTTCGAGGGAAATCCGCGCAAAGAGTCTAAGAAAAGGGGACGCCAGGTAAGAAAGCCTCTTTGGAACTAAGCGTAGTGGGGGCACGGATGCCCCTTCTCTGCTTTATTTCCTGGGCAAGACTGATGCCTTGTAATGGTTTTGGGGATGAGGTGATTGGTTTCTTAGGAAGGATGTTTGCATTCACAACCAAACCGAAACAGAGTAAACAAACGAGTAAAACAACTCCCCTAGCAGAAGCAACTGCGAGCGTTGTGCACGCACGTTTTCCAGAAAGGGTGAGAATGGGAAAGCTTCCTTTCGGAGAGTCACGTGTGCTCAGAGCATCCTCCTGTGGCTTCAACAGGTCTGCCTGGCGGATGGAGGACGGGTGGCCCTAATTCCTTCTTGTAGGAGGATTAGTTCTGCTCCCACTTCACTTTGTGGACCGCAGCAGTTCAGAGGAATTTAGCTAATTCTATCGGTCCCCCTTCCCCACTCAGGTCCTACCCTTGGCTCCAGTTCCCTGGGGGAAGTTCAGGATTTTGTTTTTTTCATTGTTCTCTCTCTCTCTCTCTCTCTCTCTCTCTCTCTCATTCTCAATCTCTCTGTCTCTCATACACATCTTTCATAGAACAAATATGCAATATGCAATTTGGATGTGTTGGAGGAAAACTATAGTCCTCATCTGCCGCTTGCCAAGCTTTGTTAGAAATATGTGACGTGAGTAATCGCTGAGATTTTGTCTTTTGGTGAACAGATTGATCCTTTTTTTTTTAGCGAACGGACAAAGAAAACCATTTTGCAAATCATTACAAGTTATTTTTGAGATCTGTAAGGAATTTTTTCTTTTGTGACACTACGTGATTATCTTTAAATTAGGACTGCTCACATGTTCATAGCACAGCTTCTTGGCAAAAATATTCATTGCAAAGAATGCATTGTCTAGAGTGTATAATAATTTTAAAAGTTTCACATCTTATTTCGAAGGGAGGCTGGTATCTGTGGGGGTCACTAGGACTGTATCTGGCTGTTCTCAGGGGTCACGAGGGCTGTCCTTGTGGTGCTAGGGGCCATGGGTGCTGGGGACCTCATTCATGCTTGTGTCTGTCTCTTTGAGGGGTGTCAAGGACCCTGAGTCCTTTGATTTAAGTTGAAATTCTGATCTCTCAGAATAAGAGTTTTCAAATATTAAAAAAATGATGGTATAGAATGATATTACAACGGGTAGGGCTTTTACCTTGCATGCAACCAACCTGGGTGAGTGATCCCTGGCATCCCATATGGTCCCTCCAAGCACCGCCAGGAATGATTACTGAAGACAAAACCAGGAGTAAGCCCTGAGCATTGCTGGGTGTGGCCCAAACAACAGCAACAACAACAACAACAAAGTTGGAAATTTGAAGGCATGAGGGGTGAATATTGCTAACAAGAAGGAGTGAAATGTTGCTAATAAGGGGAAAATGTGCTAATAAATATTGCTGTTGCTAATAAATATTGCTAATTAATTTTTTTTGTTTTGCTCTTTTTGGGTCACACCCAGCAATGCTCAGGGGTTACTCCAGGCTCTGCACTCAGGAATTACTCCTGGTGGTGCTCCGGGTACCATATGGGATGCTGAGCATGGAACCTGGGTCGGCTGTGTGCAAGGCAAACGCCCTACCCACTGTGCTATCGTTCCAGCCCCTAATGAAAATTTCTATCAGCCATTTAAATATCTTTTTGAAATCTCTAAAGCAGAGGTTGAGAGCGTAGTTTATTATCTGTGACTGCTGTCTTACTCAGAACATCCCCCTCACTGCTCCTTCTAGCGCCCCCCATTGCTTACTGCTGGTATTGACTGAGGACTCCCCAAGGGTGGGGCACGAAGCATTTTCAAATGTTAGCTCACTTTATTGTTGATTATCTAGTTAGGATTTTGGGCTGCACCTTACTGTGTTCCGGGGCTGTTTCTGGCTCTGTGCTCAGGAGTCACTCCTGAGGGTGCTCTGGGACACATGCAGTGCTGTGGGTCTAATGCCAGTTGGAATGGCACCTTCAGCTCCATCCAGCGGACCTCAGTTGCAGACTGAGACAGACAGAGGAGACAAACCTATAGACATGTCCAAACTTTGGGGTCTGCTGGGTAGCCTGAGTGACCAGTCACAGGCTTACCATTTATTCAGTACAATATCATCACCTCACTCTGGCTCCCACCACGTGAGCTGTTTTAAGTTGACAGATATTAAGGCCTGTCAGTGAGCATGTCAGTATTCCATGGGTGCTGAGGAGCGAGGCTGGGCTAGTTTATAGCCCATCAGAGGGCACCCTTAAAAGAGAAAGGTATGACAACTTCCTATTCTAGTTTTGCCCATCTTGCCCTTTCCATCGAGAAGACCTTTTTCATTCTATTCTTTCATGACCACATTTTTTATTTGCTCTGTAATATGCCCCATTCTTTTTTGAGTGCATTTTTGCTTGCCTGGATTATATTTGAGAAAACCCTGGGGCCGGAGAGATAATACAGGGAGTACAGCAGGTAGGGCACTTGCCTTGCATGCAGCCAACCTGGGTTCAATCCCTGGAACCCCATAGTGTCCCCTGAGCCCAGCTAGGAGTGATCCCTGATCGCTGTCAGGAATAAACCCTACTGTCAGATATGATCCCCAAATCAAAATAAAATAAAAGACCTAGACTGTTTTGCCTAGGTAATGATTCCATGAATTGAGCCTGGGTGGGTGGCATGCAAGCAAGTGCTTTAACTTCTATTCTGTCTCTCCGATCCTCCAGGATTAGCTCATTTTAATTCTTCCTGACCCCCAACAGCTGGGACACTGGTAAGGGACCCTCATCAGGTCACATTTCTGGGGGGAGGTCTTGTGCTCTTTCTTTGGCCGGGTGCCACTTCTACAGAAAGCTCCCACACTGAGTCTTACATGACTGTCTTCCAGAACAGGGTTTATCCAACCTTACCTCCATTTGTCATCTTCCTTGGAGTGGGGGGCCTTATTTCCGTTTTCCAGAATTAGACATTGCCTTCTCGTGACAGGAAGGTGAAGCTGCAGATCTGAGTAATGGCATCTTCAGGGATGGAAATTCCAAATCTGCTTCCAGATGCAAATCCTCCTATGGAGGACCAGTTCCTTATGGCACGAACTGCTTCAGATATCCTTTCTCTTGTAGAATCTGCCAGCATCTACACCCTGCATGAACCCCTGGTATGAGTAGGTGTGGAAGAGAGCCTATCCAGAAGTCAGCACAAAAGTGAAAACTGACGTCAGGTGACACACGAAGAAGAGAATTTCTTAAGCCTAGGGTATAAACCAATTATAGCCAATAAAGCGTATAAATGAATCTTTTGTGACTATAGGTATGCAGCTATGAAAATGAGGCTTCTTGCTTTCTGTTTATTATTTATTTATTTATTTATTTATTTTTGGCTTTTTGGGTCACACCCGGCGATACTCAGGGATTCCTCCTGGCTCTGCACTAAGGAATTACTCCTGGTGGTGCTTAGGGGACCATATAGGGTGCTGGGAATCGAACCTGGGTCGGTTGCATGTAAGACAAACGCCCTGCCCTCTATGCTATCACTCCAGCCCCAACTGTTTATTTTTTAAACACTGAATTAAATGAGTAAAATTCATAATTGCTGTAGTTTGAATTTGTCAGGATGAGGATTAATATTAACAAAGCGATACTACAGCTTTTGATATTTTTGTGGGATAACTGAACATTTTTTGGAATCTGGAGTAGATAATGTGGGTTTGGGTATTACTTCCACCTTTAATTGGGTAGGTGCCTTAACTTGTGTTTAGGGATACTGGAATAATAGGATCTACAATTCTAACTTCTTTCATTTTGGGGCGTGTGTGGGGTTATACCTGGTGATGCTCAGGAGTTACTCCTGGCTCTGTACTCATGAACTGCCCCTGTGGTGCCCAGGGGACCATATAAGATGCTGGGGATCAATCCTGGTTGGCCATATGTAAGCAGATGCCCAGCCTGGTGTACTATCTCATCAACCCCCTACAATTTTGATTTCTAATTCTGTTATGCATAGAATATTGCAAATCACTTAGAACACTGCCTGAGATTTGGTAAATGGTTATTAAATATTAGCTACTTATTTTACTTTTAGATGAAGATAGAGATGATTTTTGGTTTAGTTTTTATAAATAATAAATTCTGATTTTTTAATAAATAATGAATGACATTGCTATTTACAATAAATAGGGGTTTGTTATTTATCATTTATTTCTCATCTATTCTCCATGATCTTTATTCCATTTTGAATTAACCATCATGTGTGGTGTGAGGTAGCAAATTAAATTCAGCATTTTTTTGCTCATGGCTGATGCAGGAGTGTTGAGGGCAGGTCTCTGTGTTTATCTACAGTTTCCAGGTTCTTCAGTATTTTCAGGGATGAAAATACTGAGTAATAAAGTAATGCCTAAACTCAGAGTAGTATATGGAAGAGTTTGTTGGAAAGTAGAAGAGAAACTCCCGAGCAGGGGAGGAGGTTAGTATAGGACTGAGTTAAGTAGTATTGCTCATTTTGTGGGTTTTTATAGGAAAACTGGGTCTTTGTGTTACTTTATCAGAGTATCAGAGCATTCCCATTAGTTTCCCAGAGATCTCTTGTCAGTTTAGGCCTGTCTGTGTTGTTAAGATGAGCATCTCTCATTCCCACTTATGCTGGAGGGATGGTCTATTTATTTAAGACCTTTTATGTTATATATTTCATCATATGCCCAGGTATTGCCCTATTATCTCTTAGTCTCCTGTGAACTCAAGGTCGGGGGAAGAATTTATGGTCTTAGGAAATGGTAAACTTCCCCATCTCAGAAAGAACCCAGGAATTTGCAGGAATGTTTAAAATACATGATGGGGACAGCTAAAATAAAGTTGTTTGCAGCAGCTGGCAGAGGGAAACTAAGGCTTCCTCTTTCATGGCTTTTCCCAGCAACATTTGTTGAAGAAGCTTTGTTTTCTCACTTTATGCTTTTTTAATTTTTATTAGTGAAACACCATGAGGCAGAATTGTAGACTTACAAATTTTGGTGCTTGGGTTTCAGTTATACAATGAT